TCCTGCCCACTGAGTCTGCTGAGTAAGTACAAACATTCAAACACAACATTAACTCTGGTTAAGATTTTTTTGAAGCTGAATATTTTTGTGAAGGCTTACAGGTTAAAGATTTCTCAACCTGTAAATGTGCATTGTAATTCATCACACATTTTAATATAATTGTCACATTGCTCTAAAGAAACATTTAAAAAGACATTTCTAAGATCAGTTAATAACTACACGATCTGATGGACCATTCCTCTGCCCCTGTGACCTGAAAGACTTGTCCTTGCAGTGAGTCGCCAACGCAACAAGCTTCTCTGGGCCCTTTGTGTGTGTTTTGTTGGTATTTGTGTGGTTTCATTTGTGAGAATGGATACTTATGTTAACAGAGCTACTAAAAGTTGCTGCTGCAGTTAGGAGTGTGCTTTCAGCCTAACTCTCGCACACATTGATCTGACCTCCGCCCAGCACCTTTATGAGTTTTAGCCTTTTATGGGAACATCCAGATGACATTTATGTTCCGTACACTTCCTTTATGATCACATAACAGTTGAAGTGATTCAATCCCATACCATGACACATAGGCCAACTGGATTACATTTAAGACATGTTATATAATTTGAAAAAAAAAGTGGTGTAAAGGTTGTTTTTTTTTTCTTTTTACATCTTTGTTGTCTATGTTTAACACTGTACCATTTATTCTCTATCTGATAAGAGTCTCCTACTTAAAAAAATAGCAATTAACTCGGCCAAGCATGTGAGATACTATTGCTTAACACTCAGTTAGCTATTATAATTAAGTTTAGTTGATGTTATTTGTTTTTTTTTTCCCCAGTATATTTCAGCGAACCATCAGAGCTGCAGTGGAGCAGCACTTCTTTGACCTGCAAACCAAGAGCATTGACCGCAGTCTTAGCAACTATGATAGCCAGGGGTGAGTGCAAACACACACACTCTCAAATGCTGATATGTATGAGCCTAAAGAGCAACCAAAATCCATCAGTTGACCTAAAGAGCGACGCATAACTTTGTTTAGCGTGCAGGGGTAACAGACATACATACACCTAACAGGAAGGAAGGAAGAGGCCAATGAAAGAGGAGAGAAAGAAGTACATGGAAATACGACATTATTGGGGTCAACTGCTGCACATCTCTGTAAACGTACATGACAGCATACATTACACAGATGACTCAGAGGCCAAATGTGACGGTGGATATGTATTAAGAAAAATGTTTGACATAGTGAGCATTGGTGACAAAGGTTGAAAGATGAGCAGGAGACTCGCGTTACCAGTAAACATGTTGACAGTGGCAATGTTAATAAGCAAACTGTGGGTGTTGATGGAACCAGCTGTTAAGAATCATTCACCTCAAAGGCAAAACAACAAATATAGTAGGCCCTAACATCGGAGTGACACAACACTGTTGAGGTTTCAAAACGCAGACTAAAACAGGCCGTTTTATTTTGTCTGAATACCAACAGTGTAGGAATACTGTTTAATCTCATTTATTTAAATATTTACAATAATTCACACTCCTAGAAAGTATCACTGGAGTGATAGCAGCACTTTACACGTTACAAGTATTTTCACTCACATTCTGATTCATTACATTTTCATTACACATAGTTTAATTTGGGGCTAATATGTGGGGGGAAAAAGCCATGCAATGCATGCTGTTTAATGAATGTCTTCTTCCACACTTGAACCTTCTAAATATATGACCTTTAGTGCATGTCTTTTTTGCAGTGAAACTGCAGACAAGGGCTGCAATGGAAGTGAGGAGAAGCAGACAGAACCTGAAGAGAGTCCCTGTGACACAGAGGGGGAAACCTCACTCAGTCAGAACGAGCCACACGTACAAGAGAGTCGATCAGAAACACAGGTCTGTGGAAGATAAGGAAACACACATACACACATAAACATTAAAGAAGCCGAGAACTGAATACCTGTTTGTGGTATCAGTATGATAGTATATAAAATGTCTGCTTTTGTCAGTGCAGTATATTTAGCACACGTGTATTTTTTTTGTCAATAGCACTGATTGATTGAGAATTTTAATTGATATTTTGACATTTTCATGTTTTATTTTCCTTTTGGACCAATTGTGTCAATTGTTCCTGTCTTTGTAAAATAATAAGAAGTGAAACTCCAAGGCCACATGACCTGTAATTTCCAAATGAACGAAAGTGATGTCTGTTTATTTTGGAGTCACATCTCAGATCAGTTTCTGTTAATGCCCATTACGATCTCTACGCAGCTTGGTTTTATTCTACTGTTTCAACCAGCGTTGTTACTTTCCCTCAGGATTCACAGAACTCTGACGCCTCACAGGCAGAAACCCTAAGAATGGACCTGGATGCTGAGGCTGATACAGATGCTGAAAACCATATAAACACTGCCAGGTGAGATACAGTAGCAGATGTTTTAAGGATGTGAACTGTTATATAAAACATTTTAAATAATGAGGCAAAGAATTGTGTTTTCATGCAACTGGATCCACTTTGGAGAAAGGCCATTTGAGAGAAAGTCCCAATCTTTACCTCTGAAATGTGGCAACAATGTCATCATTCACTGAGGACTTTGTGTGTATTCTTTTTAGATTATTCACATTCACTGCCACAGCTAGAACTGTTTTATCTCTTGTCATTTGCAACCGATCTTTATCTCTTCTCACGTGTGGAGTCACACTGCTTTGTTGTGTCCTTTAAAGCCTTCTTTGTTTTCACTCATGGTTCCCACGGACCAGCTCATTTCTGCAGGTTGTGGGCGGCGATTCCTGCACTTTAGAGAGAAGCAGTGTGACACAGATTATTAACTGTGTTGTGTTTCGGACAACCTCCTCCCCCATCTCCCTTAAAGAATTCCCACAAAGATTTGTGGGACTAAAGATTTTTATATCAACATTTTTTGAGTCTAAAGCTATAAAAGATATTTAGGATTTTTTCTCCACTTTGAACTAAGAACTTGTAGTAATAGGAATGAATATTTTTTCAGAAACTCTATGTGTACAGTTTTTACATAGCTAAATACGACTTTAAAATATTCTTACTGCAGGTGTAAAAGCACCATTTCCTCAATGTCTCTGCTTTAGCGGGAGTCCTTCTCACAAAGATATGGACAGAGTGCCAGAATTTCACGGGTTTAAGGCCCAGGTTTTTTTCTTTATCTTTGATTTATAGGCAGGACAATCATCCCTGTGATGCCATGGACCAGACTGACACCATACAATGTGTAAGTATTGTATTTTACAAGTATGTAAGAGGGTAAGTCAAAAAAGTTTTGGGAAAATAATAATAATAAAAATAATAATAATTGTACACCTTTTGAATTCATAACATATGTCCTAAAACCTTCTGAACTTCTGTTTTTAGCGCAGACCTAAAAAAAAATCTTTGATTTTCCTTTTCACCCTCCAGGACACAGACTCTTGTCACTGTGATCAGAACGCCAACACCAGCGAGACCAACAGGAACCATCTGCCCCAAACAAACGCTGGCCAGAACTCGCACCTGCAACTATTTCACGACAACCAGTGGGAAGGTGGGCATCTTAACGTTTCTGTAGTCCTCATCAAGCGTTATTGAATAGATGCACAATCTTTTCGTTTCGTTTCTCAGTCACAGCGATTGTTTCCAACCATGAAGTTATGTTATTTCCTCATCTTTTTTCATCCATGTCTCTGTGATGAACAAATGATAGGGAACATTTTTGTTGTTATTATTATGCCACAGGAGTTTCAAGAGTTTCATTCTTTTCCATGTGACCAAATTTGGGCTGAATGTCTGTTTGACTAATGAATTGATGTATTTTATATGCACTCATTCAACATAAGATAAGATAAGACTTTATTCATACCACACCAGGGAAATTCAGTTGTTACAGCAGTAGGATAGACATGTAGTACTACAAGTAAAAGTAACAGCAGGGTAGACACAGTATTTACAACGTGATATACAAATATCAAAGTGACCATTTCCAGCAGGGAATAAAGTGACTAAACTTATAGTGCACATATAAAATAAAAAAAATAAACATAACCTAGGAAGTTGTGGAAAAATTTAAAAAAAACACTTTTTCCCATTTGTTGTCGAGAACAAATAAAAATACACATACACAAGGTAGAAAAGACGGAGCTGCTGCTGCAACTTGCGGCCACTCAGGCGGCGCCATTACAGCAACTCTGAATGAATGTAACTGACTGTTGGGAATGATTGACCTCACTGCTCTGTTATCTTCTCCTTCCTCCTCCTCCTCCTCCTCCTGTTTTTCTCTCACTTGTCTTCCTTCATCCGAACAGCGTCACCCCCCTCTCATCTCCACCTCCCTCCCATAGACTTCTCATGTATGCACCTGCAAAAAGAAGGCCAAGGTGAGTGGTTTCATATCTAACCCAACATCAGCCGGTCTGTCTTCTCTTTTCTTCCAGTCTTATTTAGTGTTGCTTGCGGCTGTGGAAACAAAGTAAAAACTAATTTCAACATTTGCTTAGTTTTAAGTAACTCTCTTTTTTCCTTCAAATGACAGATTCTTCTTCACCCTTAATTTTTCTGTCCACTTTCATTGTTCTATCCTTTTTTTTCCCTTCACCTCAGTGCTGTATTGAAACAAAGCCAGTGACGCAGCAGAAGTCTTGAAGAGTTGTTTTCGTTGATTTATTAATGTCTTTTATTAACCCCTTGCTTCAAACTCTTTAAAGCTGAGGACTCCGTTGATTATCTTCCTAATCATCTTCTGTTAACCCACTCTCAGACCCCTTTTTTTCTTCTTATTTCTTATTTCTTTCTCCAGATCCCATCCCAGCTTTCAAATCCTGGCAGGATGACAGCGAGAGCGGGGAGGCGCAGCTCTCACCACTGGCAGGCCGTATGGTTCCTCTCCCTCCGCTGCCACTTGAGGAAGATGGCGAGGAAGAGGAAGGAGAGACAGGACAAGAAGCCTCTCCCTCCTCTTGTCGCTCTCACCATCACCTGCTTGCTCGACGTTTCCTCGACTTTGGCGCACACAGTGCTCAACGATTCCTCCAGCAGGACCTTGATGCCACTTCGCCAACCAAAGCCCAGAGGTACTGCAGAAAGATGCTGAAACACACTGCTATTGATTTTATTTTTATTTTAAATGAAGTCAACAGTGAGAAATGTGTAGTTTGTAGTAAAATAGTCACAGCCTAATATCCTCTGTTCCTTTCTAAGGCCACGTCGAGCATCATTTGGCTCTAAAGAGGCAATAAGAGGAGGAGGAGATGCAGTGCTGCATCAACTCACCAAAAAGCTTCAACACCTTAAGAAGAAAATCAAACAGTTTGAGGAGCAGTTTGAGAAGGAAAAGAACTACAAGGTAAAAAAAAAACAAAAACAACAACAAACAAGATCAGAAAAGAATCTCTGTGTCATCTTCAAATTAGTGATTGCGAAAAACATTATAAATTATGGTATTACCACAAACTTTTCTGAATGTCTCGTGACATTATTAAAAGTGAGCATTCCAACTAAAAGTCAGTCAACAATGTCAAGCAACATTGAAGTAAAAAGAGTTTGAAAATGGAGCTTGAAACAGAAGGAATGTGTTTGAATTTTAGTTTGTGAGCCGTATCTGTACCTTGACTTTTACATGTTTCTTTTTTCTGTCTCCTTTGTCCTACTCATTTTCCTCCTGATCTTTGCAGCCGTCTCATGGGGACAAGGCAGCTAACCCCAAAGTCCTGAAGTGGATGACAGATTTAACCAAGATCCGAAGGCAAATTAAAGGTACAATCCCAATGTTAATGTATGAATGACTTTGTGTGTGTGAGAGAGAGAGAGAGATAGTCAGGGTTAGAGTGTCTGCGTGCCATCCTGTTCTTTGCTGGACAGCTTGACCCCTCCACTTCTAACCTTTGACATTGCATGTATGCTGAATTAATGCACATAAGCAGAGGCCCATCTATGACCAGGGGTTGACATGGCTTCTTTAAGCGTGGCTCTTACCTTTCAGTCTGCTGGTGCGTCCTTGTGAACCCACATACATTACCCAGGGGGTTTCAGTCAGGTGCAACTGGGGGAAATAGATCATTGAAAGGTGTTTGTCTATGTCTAATCTCCTAAAGTGTTTATGCATTTGTGTTTTTCTGCAGTTATAAATATTGTAACCATTCTGAATTCAAACAAGAAAAAATTAAAACCGTGCCTTCGTATAAACAAATGTAGGTTTAGGTGTACTCTGCAGTTGTTGTGTTTTTTTCACTATAGTGACAGTTGGTTCCACCTGACTGAACAAACCCGACACTCTTGACTCCCTCCTCTCAGTGAGGTGACGGCTCTCCTTCACCGGAGAACAAACTGCCCAAAACATTTCTTTCTTTTGTTTCTAATTGAAATTTTAAAAAAGTCAACAATAATGCGAGCAACCGCTCTCCGCTTTCCTCCCTCCTCCACTTATCGCCCACCTGGCCAATTGATTGGTCGATTGACTGACTGACTGATCGGCCAACCAGGACGCCAGCACCACCTTTTACCCAGGAGCACGTTGAGGCACCAGGCTTTGCTCCATTTACACAGACGCCACCATGCTCTCTCTTCCTCCCCTTCCTCCTCCACCTCCTCTCCTCTCTGCTCTCCTCCCCATCACACACTCACCCCCCTGCATCACCCCCACTCAGGCCTGAACTCTAGACCGTTTCAAGTCAGTAAGTACCAACCCCTCTGTAAGTAGATCTTATGTCCATTCCTGGCAATAACACTGAGGAGGCTTGTTATCAGAGCTTCTGTTTGTGGTGTGTTTCCGAGCATGTTGATGTTGGATGTTAACAGACAGAAAAAAACTTTGATAATGAACGTAGCAAGATACATTTAACAAGATATTAGTTTTTGTATTGTATGTATTGTTGTAAAGTGGTTGGTTTAGAGTCTGAACATCCCATGAATTACAATGGCTAGATTTGCCATTCAAATTGCAGCGACGCAAGTTGCAACTCTCAATGTGTTCTACACCATGAAGGTGCACCGCAGTGACTAAAATCCACCAACACAATTTTTATACTTTTTCTTTGGTTTTGTCATATTAAGAAATGTTGATTAATCTCAATTAATTATGATTTGTCAAGATTATTTACAATTAATCATGAATACTCTACCCTACCTGGCCATAGCTAGGTGGGTATAATTAAAGTCTCAGTTCAGAGTCAGACCACAATAAGAAATGACTCACAGCTTGTACTAAAAGCAGTTTTTATTTCTGTGTTTGAGTTTTTACATTTGTTCGCTTTGTTCAGGGTGTGTGTGTGTGTGTGTGTGTTGCCGTAGCATGCTAATGTAACAAACCCACTGTCTTTCTCAAATCTGCATGTCTGTTTTTTATTGCTGTATCATGTTTAATGAAGAAGTAATCTTAACTGGTTGTGGTACCAGTTGTGGTTGCTTTGAGCATTTCCTCTTTAACTCAACTCTCTCTCTATCCCTCTTATCTTTCTTCTGCATCCTCAGATGCCAAACACCGTGCAGAGTGTGAGCTCGGCCCTCAGACTCGTCCTCGCAGCAACACCCTGCCCAAGAGCTTTGGCTCTACGCTGGATCAAAGCACCCACGATACAGCGGGGGAATGTAAGGGTTCACATCCCACAAGAGAGGAAACATTGGAGCTGATTCAAAGCAGGGTCAAAGGGAGGAGGCAGGAGGACGGCTGGCCTGAGGACATCAAGGTAAGTTAGTGGATTAGTTTAAGTTATCTAGGGAGTAGGATCAGTGAATACATGACGCTCAACTTGTTGTGTTTGTAGAAGATGACAAAAGAGCAGTTGTCGTGTGAGAAGACAGTCCTACAGAAGAACCTGCTGCATTACGAAGGTCTTCACGGTCGACCGGTAACAAGAAAACACAGAATATTTGTCTTTAATCAAACAAACTGTCCAACGTTTTTTAACTCCAGTTTTTCATCTCTCAGGTGACCAGAGAAGAACGCCAGGTGGTCAAGCCTCTCTATGATCGATACCGTTTGGTTAAGCAGATGCTGAGAGTCAGCATCACACCTGTCACAGTCAGTACACTTCACTTTTCACCATCTCTGTGTTAGCCACCTGATTTAATTAGCTTTGCTGATATTTAGCTTTTTGTTAGCTATGTAGATTTGACCCAGCCCTAAATGACTTTGGCTTATTTTTATTTATTTTATTTTTTTTGGCTAACATTTAGAAATTTCTTAATTTTGACTAACACAGAGTAATATGTGTGGCTTAAGGCTAACTATATGTTAGTATACTGTATATTTTATAGATAGTATAATGTTTTTTACCAACAACCACTTACCAAATGGCTGCTTTTAAGCTAAACTTCTGGGATTCCTTCTTCATTTTATGTTTAAAAATCAACCTTTTTCAACCGCCCTCCCAAATTTAGGTGTCTCCCTCTAGTAAGAGACGAAGTCAGATCCTGCAGCCAATCATCGAGGGGGAAACTGCTCATTTCTGGGAGGAGATCAAAGAGGAGGAAGATGAGGAGAGGGATACTGAAGGAGGAGAGGAAGATGATAAGGAGGAGGAGGAGCAGGAGGAGGAGGAAGAAGAGGAGGAGGAGGAAGGAGAAAGTAGCGGTGGGGAAATGCAGAGCCCTGATGTTATCATGGCCGTGGATCTGGTGACTCCCACAGACAGACAAATGAGGAGCCAGAATTCACACGATTGTCCAATGAGAGGCAAGCTGGAGGAGGGCTCAGGAAGGCTGGCCTTGGACCTACGACTCTCCAGCTCTAATGCATCATCCATGTGAGAGTTGAACAACACACAGCTGATCATAAGAAAATAACAGTTCATTTAGAAATCCTATGTTGTATATACACATAAAAATATATAGGCTATTGGTATTTAGTGAAGCCATAAACATTCTTAATATTTAAGTGAATTAGCTTTATTTTTGTCCTTGAATGAGAAATGTAGTTTATTTTAATTTGTGTAAGTGTACAGTGATTCCAAACCTATCGCATTAGTTGCGTTCTAAGACCCACTGCAATAAGAGAAAATCCACGAAGTAGGGCTGAAATAGTTTTTATATTATTTATGTATATATTTACCCTTTAGGAACCTCCCCCACACTTTTCAACCCTCCATAGACTGTTTTACTTTCTTTCTCATGTACCTGATGATCCACCAGGCCCGAGCTGCTGGAACAGCTGTGGAAAGCCAGGGCAGAGAAGAAGAAGCTAAGGAAGACCATCAGAGAGTTTGAGGAAGATTTTTATCAGCATAACGGAAGGTGGGTGGAAATGTCTCAGTCTAACATAACCAGTGCTAACAGTCATTTAACGTAGGTGTCAAAACAACTCCATATTCAAAAGTTTCCTTCTTATCAAACAGTGTCGGACCCTCAGGGTGAGTTTTCCGGTGTTATGGTCAAATCCACACTTGTGGACTGTCTAGGAAAAACTCAATGTCATTTCATTAGCTTTGAGTTCACAAAATGTCCAATGAGTTCTTATGACTGACATTTTCCTTCGATCTGTATTAGGTAAAAAAAAAAAAAAACAAACTCACCCTCTCACTTCTTCTTCACAATCACAGAAATGTCCAGAAAGACGATCGGGTACCGATGCTAGAAGAGTACAGGGAGTACAAGAGGATCAAGGCCAAACTCCGCCTCTTAGAGGTCCTGATCAGCAAACAAGATTCCTCCAAATCAATCTAGACCCCACTCCCTTTGACATCATCACGTAAACACTCACCACATTCATCAAGGACCACAAGTTCATTGGTGCTGCAATCATGTCATGGAAAAAAAGTGTGAGTAAGTGAGGTCGTTTACAGATTAAACCAAAGCAGTTTTAAGTTCCCCTCCGCAGAAAAGTTCCTGCAGTACTTTTTGAAGGAGCGGGAACCTTTTAACTTTAGTATCAGCATCAGTTTGTTTGCAAAATGTTTGAAAACGCTTCAAATATTCATTTGATTAACAACAAGTGTTAAGGCTTGAAGCCAATACTTAGTACTTTAAGTATTTTTACATCCAAACTCATACTGAAAATGATTTAGCTGTTGTACTAGAAATGGTAGGACTTATTTATTATAATTTAATTTAATCCGAGGAATTCTGAAGTGTTGACATGACTGCAGCAGCAGTGAAGCCTGAACTCCATTGTGTTCGTTCATCAACTTTACCTAAGACTTTGCACTTTCTCGTCCTCGTCCTTCAAAGGAAACAAACTGACCTTTTATTTCAGGAACTTTTTTTATTTTATTTTTTCTGAGAAATTTTATTATCGACTCTGTTACTTTCTACACCTTCAGAATTCAAATCTGAATCTTACATCTGCATCGGCACGAGTCCATTGGACATTTAAATCTCTGGATCTCCCCCTCCTCTTCAAAGCTTTGGACTGATTTTTAAATTTACTGATGAATTTGAAAAAATCCTTCTAATGTTTCTTTGGTAAAAAATAATAATAATATTAATGGTTAATGTTCACTGAGACTCTGTTACTGTTTACTGAAAAATAATCTAATATGGGGAAGAAAAAAGTTTTGTACTCACAGTCGGATTTTGGTTTTCCTGTTTTTCATAAGGTGAAGCTTCATTCTGACAAAGCACTGATTTAAAGTTATCATAAGCTCAGTTCAGACCATGTGGTGCAGGTGGATGTAGATGGTGCAGGAATGATCCAGAACACTCACATTTTTTTACTCGCTAGATAGAGATTTTTTTTAGATTCAGAATGATTGTAGATTAAAATTAGTCGAAGCAGAACATTTCTGATAGTTGTCTGTTTTTTTCTGAGATGGTGATAGTTACAGGTGCCATTGATAATCTCTCTGGTTGAGGATTTGAAGCTTTATAAGTTTGTTCATGTACAGATAAGGCAGCGTGGCTGCCAGCACTGATTTTAAGTAGCAGACAGACACTGAGGAGGTTTGATGCAGCTTACCGTTCTGAATCTCCTGAGAGGAGACGTTCAGCTGAGGTTCTGGACAGCTTCGTTTCCTGCTGGCAGGTAAAATAAGGGCAGATAAGAAGGTAGAGGAGGAGGAAGTTAACAGTCTGATGTCTGATGTATGCCAAAACTTTCTTTTTTACCCTTTTAAAGACTGTCATCTAAATTATCGCCATGTTCTTTCTGTCATTGTTGCTGCATTTTGGCTTTAGATGGTTACAAGTTAGCAAAGGCTTGTTTAGTAGCTGAGGTTTAAAGGAGTTTGAAAAAGTTTGTCACATACAAAATAAATCAAGCCCAAACTATTTAGGTGTCTCATTGACCCCATGTTTCAAAATGAATCTGTTGAGCATGCACAGAGGCTTTAACATCACCTGTAATGACAGTGTGTTTCAACTCCGCACAAGTCTTGAATCTGTTCTAGTGTTTGCCAAAGTAGCTTAGTGCTAAAAAGGGAGAGTAGACATAATTAGATGCTGCAATGAAACACCTAGTAGCATATAATGGCTTAAAAAAAAACAACAACAACAACCTCTTCCATCTAAAATATGCTGCTTGTTTTGATTTTACGCCTAAAGCACCCCCTGCTGGATTACTTTACCGTTGACAATCTGAGACTTACTCTTTCTAAATTTTAACCCTCCAAATTTTGAGGAGTTTAAACACATATTGAAGCTTTGGATGACAAATGACCCCCCAGTAGCAGCTGACAGCGGAGACAGTACCTGATGGTGTGAACAACCGTCATTGGATGTTCATAAAAGCAAGGTTTTTGCACAGCATTCCTAGAATGCGGCCCTTGTGTGTGTGTGTGTGTCTGTGTTGGTTTTTTTTTCCTAACAATGAAGCACTACTTCTACATAAAGATAAATATTTACTGTATATAAAGAAACACCTGAAGTAATGAATGTCAGAAATGTTTAAATTATTTCAAACGTCACGTTGGCCCCTGTCTGTCGATTATATTTGTGATGCCCAAAAAAATGTGTCTTTTTTTTCTCACTCTCATTATAAATATCACAAACACTATTTTGTGTGATTAATGAATCTATTAATCTTTTTGTATTTACTGACTGACTGTATAAGAAAACAGCTGTAACACTGTGTGGCTAATGCTAATCAAAGCTGAACCTGCTCTGTTTCTGATTTCATTTCCTGTCTGTGCGCGTTCAGATAGAGATTATACTGTAGATGAATTTTGCATGGCAAAGAAGAAACATTATGAAAACAAAAAAACAGTGTACGTCTTTGTTTCTGTTTTTCGTGCCATGAAGCAGCAGCAATAATAAAAGTGTGTGCAGATTTCACAGTCCAAAATCCCTAAATATTTCACTTTTTGATTGTTGTTGTTCATAAAATACATTTGTACTATTTTGATCCCATATTTGGAAAATTGTTGTGTTAGCAGCAGAAATGCTGTTAACAGGCAGCCCCTAACGTGCGCCAAGTATGTATGAGTATTCTCTTGGAATCGAACCCAGGACTCTTCCACTTCTGAGGCAGGCATGCTAACTGCTACATTATGGAACCAATGTTGTTTTGTGTGTGTGTATATATTTATATATACATATATACACACACACATATACATTTATTTAAATATGTATGTGTGTATATACATCTTAGCGCTCTCGTTGCTTGTAGTTCTGAGTGAATGCAACAGGGGGCAACATTGGTAAGTTCTGACAAATCAATGTATATATTTAAATTTTTATTTTATCTTATTTTTATTTAAAGATGACTAATATATATGTATAAAAAAACAAATAATTCTACATACTATATGTATATTTATATATTAATATTTATATATATATATATTTACAGGGCCGGAGTGGGCTCCTTTTTTCAACCCAGGATTTCATGCCCAAACCCAGCCAACTTTGCTATGGAGTATATTGTTCTTCTTTTTCTTTCAGCTTTGTCCCTTTTTTTCAGGGGTTGCCACAGCGAATCATTGATTTCCATCTCACCCTGTTCACTGCATCAATATATCTCCTATTTGTCTCCTACCTGGCGATTTTCATATCAATCACACTATAGAGCATCTAGCCTTGGCAAGTCAAAACCAGCAGAGTCGTGTTGCCCTTTGTAGCTTCCCCTGGGTATTCCACATTGTTTGTTGCCATTTGTAGCTTCCCGTGGATATTCCATATTGTTGACGTCAAACTAATTACTATCCTACAGTCAATGGTGGCACTTGTTAAGCACAATCACTTCGTGTCACTCACTGGATCTTTAGCGACGGAAAACAGAAGATTTCCTTCTCCGCTGTACTTGACCCGACAGATGACTGGAAGCCCAAACGGATAACACTTGTGTCTTATTCGCCGGATGTGCAACCGGAAATAAGGCTCGTACAACGTATTCCTATTTCCGGTTTACAAACGTTCCAATATCAATATCTACAGTTTGTTTAGAACTTTTTCTTTGATAGAAAGAGCGTGCTTTGACGACTGTTTCTGCTCATTGGTGAAAATCTACAAAAATAAAGAATTTAAATACAAAATTATTTTATATAGTTTTTTTTAGTTCATAGTTATTTCAGATATATACAGTATATCTACTCGCAGGGCCGAAGAGGGCCCCTTTTTCAACCCAGGAGTTTCAGACCCAAACCCGGCCCATTTTGCTATGGAGGAGGAATTTTAATCCACACATTATTATTTTATTTATTTTTTTGCCCTCGAGCCCATCACATCAAAATCATGCTGCATTAGAAGTCACATTAATGGTAAGTATTTTATGTATGGAAAGTATAACAACGTTAATATTTTTAAAAAAACCTTTAATACCTTTTTTAATACCTCAGAAACCTGTTATACTCTAAAATTATTGGTCTGGTTTAAAAATTCACAGTCTCCTCTGCTCTGAACAGTTGATCCTAAGTACCTGAACTCCTGCACCTTCACCACCTCTGCTCCTTGTAGCCTCACTATTTCACTGTTCTGCCGTTCGTTTACACACGTACTCTGTCAGCCGGTTCTAAACAGTAGCCTGTTTGAGCCGCATGTGTTGCTTCAGTCAGCGTGGTATGGTATTGTACGAGATAGCGCTTTGTTATTTGTCCACTAAATATGTGCACGAAGACCTTTGGTTTGAGTGGTCCAAACATTTTGGGTGTTGCGACTTTAGCCACGTGTGTTAGTGAAGAAGCGGCTCGTTCTGTGGGGAACGTTTCCTTCAAGGCGGTTCTTGCACTTTGTAGGGCATTGTAACGATGAAACATCCATGAAGAAGACGGCACATTATTATCGATGGTACAAATTTACACGTTTCATTATTTAAGCGTGTGTGCTCACTCGTGCACTTATGATTAAGTAAATCCCTTCAGGTGTAGCAGCAGACCCATATCGCCATCACCTGGGCCGGTGGACTCCACCACGCCATCTGGTTTCTGTTACGTGAACGACATCTTCCTGGCCGTTTTTGAGCTGCTCAAGTAGGAAAAGAAACATTTCAAGTTTTGTCACCGGAAATGAAACTTTTGGACAGCAATTACGGAGTGTTGTGAAATGTTTACAGGACATAGGGGCTGGGAAGGGCAAATACTACGCAGTAAACTACCCAGTCCGATATGGTATCATCTGAGAGCATATATGTGGAATGTTTTATTTATTTCATCTTGTGTTTCAGGCCAAAAGAAAAGGTTTAATGAAGTTGTTCCACTCCTGATGATGGGACCTTTGTTGAATCAATATGAGCCAGTGACCTGCGGTGAGCTTCATTGCTGGTGAGGCACTGACTCCTCTGGAGTTAGATTTACAATTGTAAGAACCAAAAAGAGCATCAACAGCAATCACCTGGTAATACTTCATATCCCATCAGCATTCCTCTTTCAATGACATTTACACAAACATATTCACAGGAACATATTTGTCCTACAAAGAACGTTTATTTATACAAATGGACAGAGCACACTATGTGTCTAAGGAATTTAAATTTTCTGTAAACAAATTAAAGTATGGAGGTGAGTGCAGCACAAATTTATTTGTATTTTGGCCTTCAGACTTTTGGTGCTTTAATCAAATGTTGTCTATCAATTGATATGGAAATATATATTTTTTAGGCCAAAAATGTAGTTATCAAATACTTGAATTTTTTTGTACGTATTCCCATCTTATTTAAAAAAAAAAAAAAACAGTTTTTGCCTTACCTTCAAATTGGATTTTTTCACAATGGTATTTTATATGAATATTTTTGAAATATTCATATAAAATACTTTAACCTTACCATCGTGAAAGAGTCCATACAGATATAAAGTCCCAGAAATGCCTTAAAA